TACGCTGCTCTGTTCTACATGAATATTCTTGTCCCGAGTATTTTTGTGGCGGACTGCCACATACGATTTCTCTGGTGAGACAATCAATGCAGGAGGACTAGAAATTTCAGAGTCAGCAGTACGCACCGGTGTATTCAAATTATTCGTACGCGGAAGTTTGCTAACACATGAAATGCATTTCCAATTATCTTTACGCTCTTTATTAAACGAATAAAAAGAATAAAAGCGTTTATTGCTTATATTTAGACATTCAATATCATAAACCTCTTTACAATTACAACAACGTAGATATTGTCTTTTGGATAAAGGTTTCGCACTTGCAGCACAAGTCTCGGTTGGTGGCGACATCATTTTATACACAGAATACTTTACTCCTAGCGGAGAATTTTATACAATAGAACTAGGACTTATTTCAAAAGTAAAATAATATTATAAAATCAGATGAATGAGCGCGTCCTCTAATGGGTGATCGTAGGATTGATGAAATTGATCTATTAGCATAAGTTCGTAGCTTATTTTGCCAGGAATTAATAGATGGCGTAATAATACACAAATTGTTACTCTCTTTTGGTAATCAATTATCACATAGATGTCGCTGATTTAATCGGATGTACATAAATTTTAACTTTTTAAACTACTGTAACCGTCACTTTAATACTAAATTAATGTTTTTTTACTTTAGAACAAAAATAAAACGTTGATAGCACTGTGACTTAGTTTATTAATATCGTTCCTTAGCGTTTCACTTTAAAAAGCACTGTCTTAGTACAAAAAATTCAAAACAATAACAATTTATAGTTCACTGATTCACTGGATTAGTTTAACTGATAAACATATATTACATAATATATATAATAATAACATTATATAGATAAAAATTATAAGATCATTATAAAGGTTTTTAAGTCAAAATAGTTATTAATGAAAATATACCTTTTAACAATATTAGGGTACATCGATTTTTTAATTTGACTATAGTTGAGAAATAAGGTACATCACGAGAAATATTCTTTTATTTCCTTAATCTAATTAAATTTTTCTACGTGGTAGAGCCATGCTGCAGCTATATTATGGTTGTAGCACGAATGGGTCGGCTCGAACGGGGAAGGACCACGCTCACAGAAAACCAGCGTAAAATAGCAGCTTAACGTTGCTGTGTTTCGTATGGTGAGTGTAGAGAACCGGAGACCCTTTTTACTGAATACGAGGCATTCCATCTTAGTCCTCACGGGTGACAACGCATCTGCATCTTGAGTCTTTATTGAGGATAGATGTAAATGTCTATGGGTCACAGCAACCACTTACCATCAGGTGGACTGTGTGCTCGTTTGTCACCCGGTCCTATGAAAAAAAATACTACAATTCTTTTAGAGCAACAAAATTATTTTCATTATTTTCGGGTCTTAACGTTACACAATGCCCCATTGTACTATAGCGTAGCGCGTTCTGATCAGCCGGGTTTGTGTCGTACAATATCTAAGGGTTGTTGTCTTAACTATTACAAACGATGCTCTATAAGGGTCGTAAACATGTAAAACTACACAATTGCAGCTTTCACTGAGATTTGTCACTAATATTGTTTCAATTTTGTTTTTAGTAACTATGTTTTAATCATAATTATACGTGGTAGAGCCATGCTGCAGCTATATTATGGTTGTAGCACGAATGGGTCGGCTAGACCGGGGAAGGATCACGCTCTCACAGAATACCAGCGTAAAATAGCAGCTTAGCTTAGTCATAAAAGTCGGACATTAAAGCTTGATAGCTTTAATTGTAAGTCCCTGAAATGGTCAGTAGACAGTGTGAGGGTGTTGTGTGAGACTGCATCGGTAGTAGCATGCAAGAGACCTGGCTAATGGACCACGACCTCTCATATCTCAACACCGTTCACAAAGACTGAAACCACGGGTACGACAGCTGTAGATTCAGGCGTGGGCATTCTGCGCGGGCGACCACATGGAGGCGTCGCGCTGTTATGGCGTAAGAATGTGTTTTCATCGGTATCTGTAGTGAAATGTAATAGTGTGAGGCTGTGCGCGATTAAGTGTCAGGTATATGAGCAAGCTATGCTTATTTTTTCTGTTTATATGCCGACAAACTGTGTCGAGAACCTTGCGGAATTCACACAGTGCCTAAGCGAAATTAACGCAATTATCGAGGAATGCGATATTAGTATAGTTTTTATGTTAGGCGACTTTAACGCACACCCGGGGGAGCTGTTTTTTAACGAAATGCTTAGTTTTTGCGGCGAGCAGACGTGTACATATACACTAGTGATGCTCACGACTGCTCACGATGGTTGGATCATTGCCTTGTAACGAGTATGGCTAGGAAATATGTTGAAAGCATACACGTAAGAAATGTTGTAACGTGGTCTGATCACTATCCCTTGGAAGTGAACTGTAAAATTAGTTTAGGTTTCTCGCAGGTCCAGCCCATCCAGTTTAAAACTACAAATAGGGTAATTTGGGGGCACAGAGATAGTGAACAGATTAACCTATATACAGAATATTGTAATAATAGATTAAGACTAGTAGATATTCCTGTAGAGTTAAATAATTGTTGTGATAAATTCTGTGATAAATCTGAACATAAATTAATCGTAAATAAATTGTACGCGAATATCATACTAGGTATATTGCAGGATCGTGCAATTTATAGTCATAAGAATGTACAGCGTAACAAAAAGCCACAGATAGTGGGATGGAATAGGCATGTGAGGCCGGCTCATGCCAGAGCTCGTCTTTGTTTCCAGTCATGGGTATGTGTTGGAAAGCCAACGTGTGGAGCAGCATACGAGGATATGGAAGAGTCACGTAAGGCTTTTAAAAGCAAACTCAAGTGGTGCCAGGATAATGAAGAACATATACGGATATTCTGGCATCTTCGTGTGAGGCTAAGCAATTTGGTAAATTCTGGCAGCATACGAACAGACTGAATGCAAGGTCGAGTCTCTCAGCTCAAGTGGGGGGCGTGAGTGGGTGTCGGAATATAGCGAACTTGTTCAAGTTGCAGTTTAAGGGGAACCGTGCAGGCTTAATTTTATGTTAAATGATGATGACGCTGGGGACAGTGTGAATATGGGGGGTAGCCCGCTGCGCTTCACAATCGATGATGTTAAATCAGCAATTAACAATATAAAGCGTGGGAAATCACCAGGTCACGATGGCCTCAGAGTTGAACACCTCAGATATGCGGGTGTGCACCTACACAGAGTCCTCAAGTTAATCTACAACCTATGTGTTGGTCATGGTTACTTACCTGATACAATGATGATGACAGTGGTCGTGCCTATCCTTAAGAATAGGACGGGCGATGCAGCGGATGAAACCAACTACAGGCCTGTATAGTCTGCTTGATACACAGTTAAGTGAAGGCAGTAAAGTTACACGATGCTCAGTTCGGGTTTAGGCCTGAACTGTCAACGGAGAGCGCAATACTGTGTCTCAAGCAGACTGTGCGGTACTACACGGACAGGAAGACTCAGGTGTATGCGTGTTTCCTAGATTTGTCTAAAGCCTTCGACCGAGTGTCTTATAAAATCCTATGGCAAAAACTAAGACGGGAAAGTAGCTTGAGACCAGAGTTGGTTTCACTGTTGGAACATTGGTACGGTAACCAGACTAACACAGTTAGATGGGGTAACGCCTTAAGTGATCCCTACAAATTAGACTGCGGAGTGAGGCAGGGAGGGCTGACGTCACCGAAGCTGTTTAATCTTTATGTTAACAGACTGATTGAGAGGCTCAGCAGAGCAGGTGTCGGTTGCTCAATAGACGGTGTATCCATGAATAATTTTAGTTACGCAGACGACATGGTTCTGTTGAGCCCCTCAGTCAGCGGGCTTCGAAAGCTGTTGAAACTTTGTGAAGCATATGCCGAGGAGACTGGACTCAGTTACAACTCAAAAAAAAGAGTAAATTTATTGTCTTCAGAGGTAAAAACAAACCACTTGATTTCACGCCATGTATCCAGTTATGTGGGATTCCTCTGAGACAAGTGGCTGAGTTTAGGTACTTCGGACATATTGTAACTAAACGCCTGGATGATGACAGTGACATTGAACGAGAGCGCCGAGCGCTGTCGGTCCGGGGCAATATGTTGGCTCGCAGATTTGCACGTAGTACGACTCAAGTTAACTTTGTTCAAGGCGTATTGCCAATCCTTTTACACGTGCAGCCTGTGGACTGACTATACGCGGCGGGCCTACAGTCCTCTGCGTGTTCAGTACAACAATGTGCTGAGGGTGATGTTGAGGAAGCCTCCACACTGCAGTGCGCCGGCTATGTTTGCGGATGCTCGTGTGAACGACTTCTACGCGATCATGCGCAAGCGTGCCGCGTCCTTGAGGAGCAGGCTATTGAGGAGCTCCAACACCCTTCTCAACGCATTGGCTGTGAAGATGGATTGCCCGCTCTGGATGGCTTGGAATGGTGCACACACCAGCACCAGGAGAATCCCACCTGGAGTTCGCTATGTGAGGCTGGGGTTAGGTTATGTTACTAATATAGGATAAGTACTATTGTGACTAACATTCTAATATTAACTTCTATTTTATTTTATACTAACACTAGGCTAAGTAAGTTGTACTAACAATCTATGACTATTGTTGGTCGAAATAAAGGATTTATTATTACATTATATTAACGCTGTTGTTTCATATGGTGAGTGTAGAGAACCGGAGACCCTTTTTACTGGAAACGAGGCATTCCATCTAAATCCTCACGGCTGACAACGCATCTGCATTTTGATTCGCAAACGAGGATAGATATAGATGTCTATGGGCCACAGCAACCATTTACCATCAGGTGGACTGTGTGCTCGTTTGTCACCCTATTCTATAAAAAAATCACTTTTTGCTGTCGTGAACAATTATTATCTTAGATCTAAATGATAACATAAGTGCCATTAATTGATAAAAGCCAGGGCAGTTTGTTAGTTAATAAATAAAACGACATAATATTATGAGAATAATATTTTATTAAAAAATACACTAAAAACTAAGTCGCCGGATGACTCCCGATGTCGCAAACAAATGGCTCTGTACCTGTGGGTAGAATAACATTCAGATTAATTTTAAAGAAAGGGAATGAAAGATGAAAGTGAACACTCTTAAATGTGCAAATATAAATACAATTACAATAATTTTATTGATATATAATACAAACGAGCACACAGTCCACCTGATGGTAAGTGGATGCTGTGGTCCATAGACATCTATATTTTTCATTGATTAAAAATTAAAATGCATATGCGTTAACACCCCTGAGGACTGACATGGAATTCTCGTTTCCAGTAAAAAGGGTCTCCGGTTCTCTAAACTCACCATAAGAAACACGGCAGCATTAAGCTGCTATTTTACGCTGGTATTCTGTGAGAGCGTGGCCCCACCTAAGTCGAGTCGACCCATTCGTGCTACAACCATAGTATAGCACGCTGGCTCTACCGTGTGACAAATACTTATTCCAAGTACTTTAGTGTATGGTAGTGAAAGTTTGTTGTGGCAGAAGAATGCATGAGAGTAAAATTAATGATGTAGAAATACGGTCATTAAGTTTGTTAGAGCTGTCTCTGAATGATAAGGTGAGAAATTGTGTGATTAGAGAAAAGTGTGGTTTGCAAGACAATATTGTAACCTGGATTAAGAAAGGAATTATTCGGCAATTTAAAATCGCAGAAAGAATGAATGAAGAAAGTATGACAAAGGAAATTTGAATATATATATAGTGTGTGTGTGTAAATTTACAGAAATATATCTTTGCATTATATTTATATAGTTTGTATTGACATACATCTAATTTTTTTAGAGAACATTAAGTTTTTAAGTTTTACGGGTTGACTGGCAGAGAATGCTGACAGGCATTAAGTTCGCCCATTGTCACCTTAGTTGTAAGATGTTACAATAAAGAATAAATAAATAAAACTTACCGCGGTGTGTGAGCACGTGACTTCTCATTTCCTTGATATTGGGGAACTGTTGCTGACAAATGCGACATTTGTAGTGATAATCAACCACCTGGAATAGATGAACTTTATTTGGAGCCATGTATATATATATTCAGAGAATTTAAAATTTCACAAGCGAGTAAGTGCGATATATTAAAAGCGAGGGATATGTTCGAAGAGTCTCTGCGTGATAAGACTTAGGCCTGAATTCCTCCTTCGCTGACGTCGGTCGCGCGTACTAATGTGCATTGTGTTCTATATAGTCCCACACTACGACGCTGACGACAGCGGCGCGTAGTTTACTACGTACGCGTACGCGACCGACCATACGCAGCCGACGTCAGCGTAGGAGGAATTCAGGCCTTAGGAATGAGATATCCACAGTAGAATCAGAGTAACTGACAGCCCAACGGATAAGTAATTTGAAGTGGCAATGTGCCGACAATATAGTTTCTAAAACCGACTATCGATAGGGAAGAAAGGGAGGCCTATATTCAGCAGTGAACTTTTTTTATGCTGAAACTCCAAAACTCCATAACTCCAAAACTACTGGTCAGATCTTGATCAAATTTATATGGAATGTATACATTATAAGGACCAGCTTTCAAATAAAAATAGAATCATCAAAATCGATTCACATAGAAAAAATTTCTGGGGTAATACACACACATAAAAAAAACCAGTCGAATTGAGGACTTCCTCCTTTTTTTGAAGTCGGTTAAAAATGGTAAATTAGATAAATTATCTGAGTTTCAAAGACGTTCACGTTGTCACAATCTTAATTTTTCCTCAAAATAAAAAAATATTAATACATTGCATAACACCTCGGTGTATTCTACTATATACCAACTAATATCAAAGTCATGGGCATGCAACTTAGAACATTATTTTACGAACAAAATGATACGTTTTATGTGCTTCCATCTATATTCTGAAGCGCTAGACTAGACTTATTTTAATCTCACTAGAGGGCACTTATATATTAAGTCTGTGCATACGCAATAATCCACGCGCACTACGCAGTTAGTAGCGGTCACTGGTTACGCTTAAAATGTTATTAATATTTATTGAACATTATTTATTTTTAGAAAATGCTATTTTATCTGTGTTTTCAGACAACGAAATACTGCTAAAATATTATTAGAATACGATACGGTAAATTTCGCCACAACGCACAAGGTTATAGTAACTCAGGTGGATAATCGGGCGGTCCCGAAATCTAAAGACCCCGGATCGCGTCTAGCAGCTGTGTTTATTTTTTCCCTTTTTTTCAAGTTCCTTCTTTTGTGAGCGCCGTCTGTTATGAAAAGCACGACACTAAAGAAAATTAAATTTGAGTCGCGGATCTATCTCTAGTATATATACAGTAATCTATGATCAAAGGATTCAATTTGTTTTCTCACAACACCTAACCTTACAGAAGAAGCGATCTTAATAAAGGCGCGTAACGGGCTAAGTGATACAGACACTCGCACGCGGACGTAAGGAGCTTTTTGATTTAATACGCGCGCCATATATTTTTATTCGACGAAATAATCGGTAGGCTAATTTCACGAAGGTCAATTTCGAGGCGTGCAAAGTATTATGAACATTAGCGATGTTGTAACTAAGTTTAAACTCGCAAGTTTGCTATTAGAGAGTGATCCTTCTGTTCTTTCAACTATTATTTATTCTGTGGTTCAAGGCATATTACCCACTAGACTAAAATTTTCAATCGTTAAAACAGTACACAAGAAAGGCAATAAAAGTGATATTAACTATTATCGACCCATAACACTTATACGTGTTTATCTAAATAATAAAGTCGTTGACTTGTTTTTTGTAAACCCATTTTGCTGGGTTTACAAAAAACAAGTTAACGACTTTAGCATGTTTCATCTTAGTAAAACTTATACAACCAGCCTAGCCAACGAAATACTTATAACATCCATTTTCATTGATATGTCAAAGGCAATTGACTTTGTTAACCACCGAATTATTGTTACACAAACTCAAAAAATATGGTATAAGAGATAATGCACTAAAATTAATAAGATTATTTAAGTCAACGAAAACTGTGCGTTAAGGTATCAAACTACTCTAGACATCGAAAAAATATTATAGCTCTCAAATTGCGAAAATAATGCGAAGTGGCGCAAGGAAATATACTAGGACCTCTATTATTCATAATCAACATAAACAATATTTCCAACATAACTACACACAAATATGTGCTGTATGCTGATGACATTACCATAAATAATAATATCATAAATAATAATAAAAATTTAGACTACGAACACGAAATAAACAGGAGAAAAGATAAAGCATAATAATTTACAAATTAACTTCGGAAAAACTAAAATAATAAGATTTCAGACACATAATAGTAAACAAGCTTCATCAAGAACAAATTCATCGAAGAAGTTGACCACACTAATTTTTTAGATGTAACTATAGAAAAGTTCTGTAAATGAAAGACACAAATTGATAACCTATGTAGAAAGTTAGATAAATTTGTCTTTGTTCTATATCACTTAAGTGGCTAACATAGAGGCCGCACTCTCTGCCTATCATAGATATGTTTTTCAGTATTATACATTTAAGAAATCTGTGTCTTTGTTCACAAAAAATTGTAATTTATTTGAAATACGGAACGATGTTATAATTAAGTCTAGTGGAAACATACATAAAATGTGTGTACCAAAGCAAAGAATACAATACACTCAAAAAATGTATATTGTATGGCAATACATGTTTACAACAAATTGCCTGTTTGTTTCAAAAATAGGAATATAGGAATCTTTAAAAGTAAATTATTTCAATTTTTTTTTAAATAAATGTTATTACTCTATAAATGACTTCTTAAATGACTAATTTGACTCGAATTGTAATTATTGAAATTAAACTTAATTTATTGACATGTTTTAACTAAGAAATATTATAAACTAGCTGTTCCTCGCGACTTCGTTCGCGTGTTAGGGTTTTTATGTTTTTGCGCGGAACCCTAATTCTTTTTCTAAAATAAAAGTAGCCTAAGTTACTCCTTATGAAATCAGCTATCTGCCAGTGAAAGTCCCGTCAAAATCGGTCCAGCCGTTTCGGAGATTATCCGGAACAAACAGACAGACAGACAGACAAAAATTTTAGAAATTGTATTTTAGTTATAGGTACCGTATTTACTTTCATATGCATTTAGTAAAAAACTGTAATTTTGACATTACAAACAGACACTTCAATTTTATTTATTTGTATAGATTGATTGACATTTCTGTTTTCTGCCGACTTCCAAAAAGGAGCCGGTACTCAATTCGACTGTATGTTTTTTTTTTTTCGTTTTTTTTTTTTTTTTATGTGTGTTACCTCAGAACTTTTTTCTGGGTGAACCGATTTCGATGATTCTTTTTTTATTTGAAAGCTGGTACTTCTCGTGTGGTCCCATATGAATTTGATCAAGGTCAGACCAATAGTTTTTAAGTTATTCTTAAATAACTTATATTGAAGTCGGCTGTACAAAATTTTTAATTTTAAATTATTATATAGATGCTATTTAGTTTCCTTAAGTATAGCTGCAAGTATATTTATATTCTATAATAAGTAATGCCTTTATTTTTTTCTATTTTGTCCTAACATAATCTGTCTGCAAATATTTGTACGCCGGAAACGGCAGAATATTTAGGATCCCAATTATTTTGTAACAACCATCTTATCTTACTTAATGATAGTGAACATATTCACGCACCTTAGACAAAGCCATTGATATCAGCTTCTTGTGCTTGAGTATGTCTTCCGCGGTGTGGCTTTTGAGGTGGGACAGCAGATTGTAAACACTGAGACAAACCCTCGAACAGATCTGGCACCTTATCTCTGGAAAGCAAATAAGATGTATTTATTTATTTAATCTTTATTGAATCTTACAAACAGTGTAGGATCTAATGGAGGACTTAAGAGGAAATGCGGTCCGAGAGACTTTTGAAAATTAGGTATTAGAAGAAACTATCGCTGTCGGTCTGCGAGCACTCTGCGTCCGATAAACACAACTGCAGATCCGACTGAATAGTTTTTTTTTTATTGGGTAGGATGACAAACGAGCACACAGTCCACCTGTTGGTAAGTGGTTGCTGTGACGCATAGATATCTACATTTATCCTCAGTAAAGAATCAAAATGCAGATGCGTCGTCATCCGTGATGACTAATATGGAATGCCTCTTTTCCAGTAAAATGGGTCTCCGGTTCTCTACACTCACCATACGAAACGCAGCAGTGTCAAGCTGCCATGTACAAAACACGACTGAATAGTCTAAGTAAAAAGGCAAAATTCGAGGTTTGGCTCTTTACCATTTCTTCCTCCAATATTCGACCTATTTAAAAGATATTGCATAAACTGATTATGAACGAGATACACTGTGTCCCTATGTTTTTCTTTTATCAGTAATAGTTATCAAATTTGAACACTAGGGCTATCTGTAGACAGCAGTTTAAATAGGCAATTTTAAGCATTTTGTAAGGGTTCTAATGCTTATAAAGGATAATGTATCGTCAAAAAGGAAAACATAAAGACATAGAAGAGGTTGATATTTATTTTCCTGCAAAAACTCATCGCTGTAATAAACCAGAAAGAAAACAGGAAAGAAAGAACCCCTTTGTCGTATCTCCTCAGTTTCAAGGCACTCCCCTTGCTGCCTCAGCTAGCATCGGAATCCTTGGCGTCGACATATCGAATAGTGTGCAGTTTCGTGGTCACTTGGAAGGGAAGGCCAAATTGGCCTCTAAAAAGCTTGGCGTGCACAGCAGTGCGAAACAGTATTTCATGCCGGCACAACTTTACAAAGCGCAAGTTCGGCCCCAGATGGAATACTGTTCTCATCTCTGGGCCGGGGCACCCCAGTGCCAGCTCCTTCCACTTGACCGCATGCAGCGCAGAGCGGTTCGAATCGTCGACGACCGAGTTCTTTCTGATCGACTCGATACACTGGCACTGCGTAGAGATGTGGCATCTCTTTGCGTATTTTATCGCATCTATCACGGGGAGTGCTCTGGGGAATTGTTCGGACTAATTCCAGCCGCTCAATTTCACCATCGCACATCGCGACAAAACTCGCGATACCATCCATACCATCTGGATGATTGGCGGTCCACCACTGTGCGATTTAGAAGAAGTTTTCTCCCTCGCACAACTTCCTTGTGGAATCGATTACCACCAGCGATTTTTCCGGACCGATACGACTTAGGGACCTTGAAGAAAAGAGCCTACTCCTTTTTAAAAGGCCGGCAACGCATCTGCAAATCCCCTGGTGTTGCGGTTGTTCATGGGCGACGGTAGTCACTTACCATCAGGTGAGCCGCATGCTCGTTTACCCCCTCTTCTATAAAAAAAAAGGCGGGAACGTTTGTATGGAGAAAAGACCACCCGCATTTCCGCCAATGCTAAAAGAACTCTTTGCCGGTAAACCTTAGGACAGTGATAATATTACGAATTCTAACAAGAAATTTTCAGTAGTACATAGTTCGGAGTTGGGAAGTTGACGGTGTTTCACCCCCCATGCCTAGGAAAGCATGTAAAGCTGTTGGTACCGTGTCTGATCTCTCTCCGGTCGTGTAGAATGACTATGAGAGTGAAGGAATAGAAAGTGCACCTGTGCTTGCGCATACAGCCAGGCACTATAATCCTGCTCTGCACAGATGGCTAGTCTCCATTCAGACTGGTCGCCATGACGGAAATTCGGTCTGGAGAATATTATTATTATACATAATACATATACATAAACACTCACGCCTGTCACCCAGAGGGGTAGGCAGAGACTACGGACTTCCATTTGGCGCGATCCTGACACACCTCTCTCGCCTCCTTTACATTCATATATCTACGCATACACGCTCGTCGGTTAAGGGTACTCCTAATCTGGCCCAATTTTAATGTATCGCCGATTTGGTCGATAAACCTTCGTCTAGGGCGTCCCTTCCCGACCCTGCCGTTCACTTCTGCAACATAACTACATGACCAAACCATCGAAGCATTCCTTTCTTAATCCTTGTCACAACGTCATCTAGCAAAACCACACTTTTCTCTTATCACACTATTTCTCACCCTGTCATTCAGATTCAGCCCTAGCATACTCCTTAAGGACCTTCTGCCAGACCCAACTTTCACTACCATACATTAAAGTAGGGACTAACACAGCATTATGAATTTCCATAAGTGCCTTAGTTGACACATTCTGACTCCTCATAATAGCGTGTAGAGCCCCATTCACTCTATTTCCTGCGTTCACTCGTCGTTCTATATCCTTATCATATCTACCATCCCTGCTAAATAAACATCCCAAATATACAAACTCATCCACTTGCTCAATCAACTCCCCTTCTATTCTTATTTCACATAACGTTTTACTTTCTTCTCTTTCAAAAACCATCACTTTCGTCTTACTTGCGTTCACTTTCATACCCCTTTCTTTCAATGATCAGTTCATTAAAAAAAAATTAACCATCCTTTGCAACTCGGCCGCCGACGATGCAATTAAAAAATTATTATTATAGTAACTAGGTATTCATGAATAAATAAATTACTTTTATCATTCTTGCGGAATCCTCTCCAGGACATCTGGTAGCAGGGTGCACAAACTCTGCAGCTCGCCACCTCCTTCAAGAATTTCTTCTGTTCATCATCATTTTCGTCTTTTTCTTCTTCAGTGCCGTCACTATAAATAAACGAAACTATAAATGTACCAACTAATATGAGACCATGCTCCTGGAATTCCTGTTGTAAGTAGAGTAGTAGAGTTGTATATAAACCCAATAAAATTGAAATATCGATTTGTAATGTCAAAATAAGAGCTTTTTACTAATGCATATAAAAGTGTTTACTTTACTTATAACAAAAATAATTTTAATTTTTTTTCTGTCTGTTTGTTCTAGCTTATCTCCGAAACGGCTGGACCGATTTTGATGGGACCTTCACTGGTAGATAGCTAATGTTATATGGAGTAACTTATGCTACTATTATTTTAGAAAAAGAATTAGGGTTCCGCGAAAAAAAATCAAAACCCCAAATAACACGCGGGCGAAGTCGCGGAGAACAGCTAGTAGGATAATAAATTGAAGTGTCTGTCTGTAATATCGAAATAACTTTCTTATATTAAGCTGAGGTTTATTTGCAAGTCTAGTGACTTATATAGTGAATGAGACATGAATAACATTTTTTTAATTTTTGTCTGTAATCTACATAAAAAAAATGCCAGGGTAAATTCCAAACTTTTGGAAAATGTATCTGTCTACCTTAAATAGGATAGATTAGGTTTAAAAATTGTTTCATATAGTATAGAATCGACAATCTTGACTCCACATAGTACTTGTCTGTTGGCCCTAGTGTTAAGGTGCGATACAAAAAGTTAATCGCAAAGTGGACAATCAATGTAATTAGATTATAAGGCCACAAGGATTTCATTTATTTTCTGCAGATTTCCAAAAAGGGGACGGTACTCAATTCGACTGTTTTGTTTTAATGTTTTTGTATGTAGTACAGTTCTGGCGCTTACAATTGATCCAACGAGCCGGATTTGAACCAGCAGCCTATGGATCTCACTTTTTTACGCGAAGGCGCATGGATTGCACTTACGCAGCGGCAAAACAGGTGTAATCCAAAGTTGTTGACTAAATATATTGATCCATAATAAACCCCCACAAGATTATGTTATAAAAGGTTGAGGAAAAAGTTTCTTCGTATTTTATATACAAATTGAAGATATTTTTTTTCAAAGTTTAATGACATTTAATTATAATATATAGGTGCCATTTTATTCGATAACTTGTTGCCATCTTGTAGGTAGTACCATAATCCTGTTGCTGTAGAAATCTTGGGATTATTGATCAAAAAAAAATGCGACATGTAGTTTTTACAATCATATCTTGATGTTAACCTAACACTACCCAAAGAATTCTTAACAAACCGAAACAGATGAAAATCTGAGGGTGCAAGGTCAGCACTATATGATGGATGCAATAACACTTCGCAACCAAGCTCTCTCAATATTGACTGATTGGCCAAATATGTTTGTGGTCTGGCATTATCATGATGGCATTATCATGACTCCTTTTCTGTTGATCCATTCAGGCCATTTTTCTCATTAGTTGTTGGCAGTAGAGATCCGAATCGATAATAAACGATGCCTTTTCAATCCCACCATACACACAGCATCACCTTATTTCATGTTAATCCGGGTTTTGCTACATCTGTGGAACTTGACTACCCTTTGACCATGATTTTTCGCACGTTTTTGTCGTAGGTGATCCACTTTTCATCACTAGTCTATCAATTTATTCAAAAATGGTTTGGTTTCATTACGTTTCAATAATCGTTTCACAATTCATTAGGTTTCTTTCAGCGAGTTCGTGTGGTACCTAAATATTGACCTTTTTTATATAGTCAAACTTTTTCAAATGGATCAAAACCGTTTTGTTAATTTTAAAATATTAGAAATAAAACTTTAGAATGTCTTGAATTTCTTTGTTAGATTAACTCATTTAAGCAGTCAGAAAACAATTGAAAAATGGCGGGAGTGTTTTTTACTTTTTTTTTTTCTTAATGTCCTATATTAAAACCAGCCAGATACAAAAAGTACAACCAAAGAGATTTTTCTTAAATTTTAAACTTTTTTTTTACTTATTATAAGCCAGTGCTTGATCACAATCTCACCTGGTGGTTAGTGGTGATGCAGCCCTAGATGGTAAATCGCACTGTCTTAACGTAACAAAAGCCTATTCACTCTTGCCTTGAACCACGCTCATATTGTATTCGGACGGAAAGATAGACGGCGGCAAATTATTCCACTCCTTTGCTGTACGCAATACAAAAGTCGAAGCAAACCGTTTGGTTCTAATGAATACCCGCCGACCGCCTGGCCGTCCGATGGTGGAAAGAAGAGAGAGGAATTAAAGCGTGTGATTCCTGCACACACTCACCACTATGCATCCTATTGAATACCGAGAGACAGGCTACTCCGCCCCTGTGCTCAAGGCTGACAACATTGGTTTCAACCAAATTAAGGTCACCAATGAGCCTCTTAGCACGTCTCTTCACTGATTCCCACGTTGTCAGGCGGCATTTTGCAGCACCAGCCCATATGTGACAGCAGTACTCCATGCACGACCGGACATGCGCTTTATATAAGGTAAGAAGCTGCCACGGCGTGAAGTACCGCCGCACCCTTGCAAGGACACTCTGGACTCAATGAAACGCCCATAGATGAGGTTCGGACAAAATTCAGCGGCTAAAAACTGAAGGCGGTCAGAGTACTCCAAAGATACATTCCGGAAAGTAGGAGCCAGGGTGAGCGGGCTCCTTTTAACGATGATGACACGCTTGTGTTTTGGAGGCATTGAATCTCACGAGATTGGCATCGTCCTATTCGGAGACTGCCTAGAGTGTAAGACTCACACGCTCAACTATAGCCTCATGTTTGGACTGCATCATGATGTTATACCATCTGATCCACTAGCTTTGTTAACGTTTAGACTTCACAAGGTTTTAAGAACCTGCTTATTGGTGATACGGACCTCTGACATAGAACTACCGCAGTGAGGTAATTGAGATGGTATGCTACTGCTCAGACGCGAATTGCAAGCACTAAGAGAAGCAAATAAGTCCGCTCTCTCCTTAGGCGCATGCGCCAGTGAGCCATCTGGTTTTACCAGCAGAGGCAGTGTAGACCGACAGAAGTTTGTCTCGACCGCTTTGGCGAGAGACCAAAAAGCTGTACTGCCATAGGGTTTGACGGAGAGCTTTGTATCGATGCGTTTAATTCGGTCGAAACTGGCTTGCCGTAATGGCGTTTTGCAGGACTTGGCGGCTTGGTTAAAGGGTCTCTTCTTAAGGCTAACATCCGGAGCTTTGCGGTCTCGAGCATCGACCCAGGATAAATAAGCCATATGCTTGTGCTTTTCAGCACGAGTGCTCTCGGCATTGAACCATGGGCGAGCTTTACCACCAATGGGAATGTCAGCAAAGGGGATGAAATACTCCATCGCTTAACGTATCACATCGGTTATGCCATCCGCGCAGCTCGACGATCTTCAGACGAGAAGCAGACCTGCCGCCAAGGATAAGATGCAAAGAAATCTCATTTCATCCCAATCTGCTCATTTGTATCACCACACTCGCCGCACACCGTAAACTAAATACGAAGAAATTTTTCTCCCCGACATGTTGTTGCTTCTTTAACAATATGTTAAAACTATCAGTTTTCACGTCAATTCCTTCGCAAATGGGGCTGTCTTCCTCGCCCTTGTCCTACCCCTTCTTTTCTCACCCTCTGACACAGGTGGATACTAAGCAAATGAGCAGTGTATGTGGTTGTGTAACTCCCCCACACAGGTGTACGCAACCTACAAACAATGCTTCTTCCTCTACCCACCTCTTCAAAATTAATTGTTTTGTAGATCCATTCCTTGACATTAAAGTATAAAACAAGAAATAAAACATAAAACAACCAATTGCTAGTCTCATTAGATGGTCATCAGGCTAAGTTTAAAATACTTACGAGTAGATATAGAAATAGAATAGTTTCATTCAATATAGATTATTAATGATACTTATTACTCTTATATTTAATTTACCACTGGTTCTGAAAATATCTGTTCTGGGATACCAGTAAGAAACCTAGTGGGTTTTTTTTTAAATAGAACAGATTCCAATCTTATTTTATGCTACACAATTAACTATGCAAACAAATTAGAAATAGCTTTGTAGTAAATAATGATATTAAACTTAGAATGGTTACAAGAAACAGTGTAAAAGGTGGGTAGTTCCTTCTCGCAATGGAAATATACTGTTAAGGGATGATGAAATAGTAGAAGATATTCATCATCATTATCATTAATTTTGCATGGTAAAGCTACGCTGCAGCTATATTAATTTTAGCACAAATGGGTCAACTCTACCTGGGTAGGACCATACTCTGACAGAATACCAGTGTAAAGTAGCAGCTTAATGCTGCTGTTTCATATGGTGAGTGTAGAGAACCGAAGACCCTTTTTACTGGAAACAAAGCATTACATCATAGACCTCAGTTGTGACAACGCATCTGCATTTTGATTCTTAATTGAGGATAAATGTAGATTTCTATGGATGGGCCACAGCATCCACTTACCATCTGGTGGACTGTGTGCTCGTTTGTCACCCTGATTCTATAAAAACAACAGCCCTTCACAAGACCACTACTGAACATAGGTCTCCCAAGGAATTCCATAAAGCATGGGCGTAAGCCACCTCCATCCATCGACTTCCTGAAGATATTAAAACCAGATAATTAAAAATAATTAATACTCACATATTTGTTTCAAGCATTTTGTACACCAATGAAAGAGTTTCTTTCGGTTTATAAACAATTAACCTCTCCCCATCCTTATGGTCTTCTTTTGTTAGGATTACTTCATTGATATGATGAAACGGCTTCCGTCTCCTTGCCTCTATGAAGTTGTAAGAGTTCAACAGCTTTTTCTCCCTATACTTTGGCAGAACACTCTGCACTACTTCTGACTTTTTATCACCTTTCTTGTTTTCTACCTGTATCTTACTCCACATTGTTGTTTCTACTTTACCTGTAAAATTATACATTTACTTAATTGTGAGGCTCTATTTCTGTCTAGAAGTTTGTCTATGTTTTATTAAAGATTAAGAGTGACAAACAACACACAGTCTAACTGATTAGTAATGATGGTAAGTGAATGCTGCAGGCCCATAGACATCTACAACTATTCTCAGTTAAGAATCAAAATGCAGATGCGTTGTTACCCATGAGGACTAAGATGTAATGTATTGTTTCCAATAAAAAACGCTGTGATATAAGAGATCAAATGTTGTTGTACAAATTGCTTCATAATATCATCTACTCTCCCCTACTTTTAAGCAAAGTGAACATGTTAGGTGTGTCACAGGTTAGGTGCACGAAATAAACCTCTTTTTGCATTACGTAAAGTTAAAACAAGGTATGCCTCAAATAATTTTGTATCTCGTACATACAAAAAGTTTAACTTAAAATTTTGTAAATTAGATATATTTGAATATGATAGTTACAAAGAAAATATTGTAAAACTTAATATATAATTGGTAGTATCATTTTGAGTTGAATATATAATGTTACTTTTAACTACTTAGTACTTAATGTTTAATTTATGAATACCATTTATTTATTCCTTTATATTTTTAAATTTTTTTACAACATAATATTGTGGTGGCAAGCTTTTATTATGTATTAGATATCTGTGGAAACTTCATTGGTTTTTAGGATTACTTTTATATGTTTTTATTGTGTAATTTATTATTGTACTGTATTCCCTTAAAAATCAAAGAAATAAATAAATTAATAAATAAAAAAAGGGACTTTGGTTCTCTACAATCACCATATGAAACAAAGCAACATTAAGCAGCTGTTCCATGCTGGTATTCTCTGAGAACATGGTCCTTCCCTGGCCGAGGCGACCCATTCATGCTGCAACCATAATATAGCTGCAGCAAGGCTCTACCATCATCAGATATTTTTCAGCAACTAAGCAGAGCATTATGTTCATTCCAATTTTGTCCTATAAAATAATTTCCATACGATCATTTCTAAGTTTGGTGCTGAGACATAGCGTATGTGTTTAAGTGGATATTATTCAATTCTTTTTATTTCTTTGAAGTAATGTTTTTTACTTTTTATTAAGTTTAATTATTTTACTATTGGAGTGGAGTAAGGAATATTACAGACAGAGAATAGAACATAGGCATCCCCCATATATTGACTCATATAGGGAGATATTTAGGAAATTTGCCACACTTGGCAAGTAGGTTGGCAACCGCAGTGTTTTGTTTTCATTCCGCTGTTATCCAAAGGATCAGTATAGAGATAAAGCCATTTGTAAATGTTTTTACATACTCACAGACCAACCCAATTGTAGTAAATAATGATTTAATAATTTTTCTACACTTCTACTTCTTCCGAAATTCTCCAATGATTCAATAAATGAAAAATTAAAACTGATGCATTTAGCATCAGTTTTAATTTTTTGACATTTTTAACATTTAGGAGCTGGGCAGCTGCATCTTCTTGACAACAACTCAAAGTAATAAATAACTGCAGTTTTTTTTTTTTTTTTTTTTCATTTATTACCCATGAAATGTACAATTATTAATACATATTGAACACAGCGCAAACCACTGAGGTTTAATTGCTGTGCTTACGTTCGCTATGCTTTAAAAAAAAAGAAGAAACAAAGTTACTATACTTATTCATGTAACTATTCGATCTTTGCTGTCCAAAGAACTCACTAGAAAGATCTTTAGTTTGTTTTTTAAATTTTTTTCATTAATAGAATTCCTAAACTCAGGATCCAATTTATTTATGATTCTAGGAATCAAGTATACAGCAGTGCGTCTGCCGTAAGTGTTCCGCGCGGCTGTCATAACTAACTTGCCGCGAGTGATCGCCCGAGTACCCTTATTATGTTCCACTGTTGCCAACCATAGCTGCCACGCATGGCAGTTATTTTATCATAACTGCCATGCGTGGCAGCTATGATAAAATACCCCTATGAGGTAATTTATGGGGGAGGCCTATGTTTAGCAGTGGACTTTCATAGGCTGTAATGAATGGATGTATAATGCACATAAAAGTAACTCAATCTATGTATGTATGTACTATAGAAATTTGAATTTCAATATTTGAAAACCCCTATATAAAAAGATTAATTAAGTTTTATCAATGATAGATGCTATCAAGCAAGACAACATCATCATTACAGCCCTTCACTAGTTCACCGCTGATCTTCACAATTTTTCAAAATTTTGCACAATAATAACACCAAGGTTTTATGTGGTGGAGTCATGCTGTAGCTATATACTGGTATAGTTGTAGCATGCATGAGTCAGCTCAACCAGGGAAGGACCACACTCTCACAGAATACCAGCTTAAAATGCAGCTTAAAGCTGCTGTGTTTTGTATAGTAAGTGTAGAGAACTGGAGATCCTTTTTACGGGAATTGAGGCAGTCCATCTTAGTCCACACGGGTGACAACGCAAAGACATTGTGATTCATAATCGAGGATAGACATAGATGACTATGGGGTGGGCCACAGCAACCACTTACCATCAGGTGGACTGTGTGCTTGTTTGTTATGTTATCCAATAAAATAAAAGATAAAAAAGCGAACCTGTCTGTTTGTTATTTACATTCCTAAGGACGACTGTTCTTTTAGTTAGATGAGTTTCACCAGTCTCCAGTCTTAAAGCTGCATCACTACGCTTAAGGTGCTCCAAGCACAAATTATTCCATGTCCTTAATTTTTTCATGTCATTTTCGTCCTTTGTAATGGCACGTACGGGCAAACACAGTGGATCTTCATAGTCAGGAATACGTATATCAAGTTGGCTACGCGGTAACTCATCATTTTGAACGAGAGGCTTCGTGACTTTGGGCGGAACATATTCTTTACTTTCCAATTTAGCGTGTGTAGGTGGCGATTCAAACTTTTGAGGTTTTAACTGAGTGCTACGCAGTATCTTCTGACCTTTTCTCTTCCTAGTTCTGGGAGGTGAATATTTAGATGGTTCATAATCAGAATCTTCTTCTGCTTTCCTCTTTTTTTTAGGTTTTCCAACTGGCCTACGCTCAACTAGCAATGGAACTTTTAATATAGCCGGCGCAGCAGGAGCAGGATCAAGAGCTTCTTCTACAGTTTGAACACATTGTTGGACAATCTCAGCATCTTCGTCAAGATATTCTATTTCGCAGTCTGTATCATTATCAGACATGTCGCTCAATTCTGACACCTGTATTCAAAAAATAGTGGGCTAGTGGGACATGCAGAGAACCTCTGAGCACAAAATTTACGTTTATTGGTAGAAGAGTAGTATTATACTATTATCACAGAGTACATTATATATAGGGAAACTATTATATTTTAATTATTTTATTGGTACAAAAACCGGCATAAAAATAGATGCAATATCGGTAATATTAATATATACCTAATGTACTCTGTGAATTAGGCTTGGGCCAAAAATATCGACATATCAATATTTTTTAATAAAAATATCGATATATATCGTTTTTCCGTATTAATTCGTATCAATTTCATTATATTTTAAAATGTTGTATCGTTTTCTTGTCGTCCAACCGTCAGTAAATAAAAATTTGGACCTTATCTTTACATCATGCAAATGATGACGATATATCGATATATCACGCGATATATATCGATAGTTTAAAAATATAGATTCGATATATTTTTTCCCTTGCGCATCCCTACTGTGAATAGATCTACTCGGTAATAAATATTCCCCTTTAACTAGGGACATTTCGATACTAGTAAATACGAGTAGGTACTCATATTTACTAGTATCGAAACTTTTTAGTTTTAGTTAGATACCAAGTACTAATAGCATCGAATCAATCTCACGATACTTACTCGGTATCGAAAAAAAGTACTTGGTATCGAATCAGCTGGGCCGAACCCGTCCGACTTCACTCGAGTCGAGATCGAGAGAGAGAGCCGCCATTACACTAAAATTCTCACTGGTCCAGTCAGCACTAGCAGTGTTCAGCATTCCACAAGTGATTGTTTACGATTACGTTACGAGTAATTTAAGTTATTATAGTCATCGGTTTATTGTTCCAATGTTATCATGGCACCACAAAAATCATTAATATGGATATATTTTACCAAAGCAAACGAAACAACTGCAAAATGTAAGCAATGCTTTAAGTCGGTGAAATATTGTGGCAATACGTTTAATTTATTCAAGCATTACAAAACTCATGGAATTACTGTGGATAAAGGCAAATTACTACTTTTCACTAATTAATTTCGTTAGGTTAGGTACTTAGGTTAGGTTCATAATAGTTCATTGGTTGGAACTATGCGATGTTATTTAAAGTGACAGGGCAGAATAGATCGTTGTGGGGCTTTGCAACATTTGCTACGTTAATGTTATTAAAAAAAATCTAAAAGTATCGATATCAGTAAGTATCGATACATTAGGAGTATTTGTATGAGTAGTATCGAAAAATGATTTCAGTACTACTGAGTACTGATATGAGTAGGTATCGATACTTTGATGGTATGGACATCTCTACCTTTAACACTGACTTAGAAGTATATGGACTGGGCATTCCTTCAGTATTAGTAGTATTTTTTTTTCTTATTTCGTGGCCTGCACGGTTTGTGCGTCAGCCATGTTTTCCATTTTTCAATGTATAATTATCCTTCGTCGTACAAATGTATAATTAGCCTTCATAATACACTGCTTCCCAATATGTTGATGCGACACATTGTGAAGTCCTCGGGAGATTTTGACGACAACTTGAGCCAGCAGACAGTTGGCAATGGTATCTCAAGGCGCCTAAGCAGACAACCTTATATTGAGAATCACATCACCATTACAGCACTTGTTTCATCGTTTCCACTAATAGTTCACATGCGTAAATACTTAATATACAAAATTGCACCACTTTTACATATCAGTCCACTTCAAACAATTTTTTAAACAATAATACAGGAGCAGCATACCGCCGCCGGTCAAGTTCCCGCCAAAACTCTATATATTAGTAGTATTAGTGTGACTACCACGGAAGTAGAAGTACATGTATTTCCATGGTGACTACCTACAAAAATCTGGCGCATAAAATGGCCGCCTTTTATAGGGTTGTAACTTAGCAATATAGGCAGCTGATATCGATATTTTTACTAATATGAACTTTTTCTCATTTCATATAATTAAATTTGTTGATTAATTTACTTTATTCCGTAGGTGTTTATATAGGTACAGGGCTGAATTTTCAATCGTCAAATACCTTATCTGAGGAATAAATAATGTATCTGACAGTTTTGTGTAGATAGAAATAAAATCCGTAGCCTAATTGCGTAACTCATCTAAAATGGCAAACCATACAAATTAGACAGTTTAACAATATCCGTTGCGTTGTTTTTGCTGTCGCGCAAACGAATTTTTCAATCACATGAAGCAATGGATATTGTTGGGTTGTCAAATTATATTTGGGTTGCTATCCCTTTGCACCTACGCAGTGCATACTCTGCTACGTAATTTTGTGTTAGGTACAGTCAAACAAAGAGTTAAACGATTCGTTGCGGCACCTATTTTCGACAACTTTTAGCTGTGGCGGAGAACAAATATTTCATGACACACCAGGCGTGTCAATCGCCATGTGTAAAAGTAATGTTCTTTTTTATGCTTTTTTCACTTGTTTAGACCTAATTAAGTTTAGTTGACATCAAATATAAGTTACAAACGAAAGGATACTTGTTTTTAGTGGGTAACTACGTGTTTTTTTTGAAATTGAGAGTGACTTTTTTATGCAGAGATTACAAACCTTTTGTACTATTTTTTGTTTTATAAAAAAATCATTTATAAAGTAGGTACAGCTAAATCACCCTGGAAAACCTTGGTTTTTATTAAATTAAATTTTCACCTAATAATAACATTTGTAAATATCAAACAATGAGAACCTTAATTTGGAAAAAAATAAGGTTTATGATTAATTGATATTTACAAATGTTAAATATTATTTAATGTTATACAAATGTAAAAGTAAAGTCGATCTGAAAACGTCTAATTAGTAAGAATAGCAAAAACAAGTGTTTTCAAAAGGAAAAAAACGTCGGCGCTATACGGCGGCGGATTGACGAAAGACTATTTATTAGTGAACTTTTTTTATGCATGAACGGTTTCGAACTGTTTCAAGCAAAAATAAACCATATCACAAGAGCACATGGTACTTCGTAGGTCTATTCAACTATATGATAGTAATAAGACGGCAGTTCAACAATTTTAAGCAAAATTAAACAATAAGACAAACGCATTGTTTTCTTTTAACAGGAGACTTGTTTTCCAGAAATTTATTTACAACTTGAGTTTGTGAGCGATCGCAATGAGTGCTATAATTTGTTACTTATTAGACTATTTTCTGCCGACTTCCAAAAAGGAGGTACTCAATTCGACTGTATTTTTTTTTTTTTTTTATGTGTGTTACCTCATAACTTTGTACTGAGTGAACCGATTTCGATGATTATTTTTTATATGAAAGCTGATAGTTCTCGTGTGGTCCCATATGAAATTGATCAAGGTCAGACCAATAGTTTTTGAGTTATTCTTAAATAACTTATATTGAGGTCGGCTGTACAAAATTTTTAATTTTAAATTATTCCACAACATGATTTAAAACCCAATATATATATAATACAAAAATAAAAATAGTACCATGTACACGTTAAAAAAGGTTGTCGACCCTTAAAAATTTCAAATTTTCAATATATCCAGAAACGAAGCTGCAGGCATGAACTATTTGCAAAATAATGAATATTTTGTTCTCGATAAATCTTCCAAAAAAGCAATTTGTGCGAGTTATAACGATTTAAAAAAAGACACGACTCGCGTGTCATACGCCACACACAAAAGTAATCGATGGCACGCCTGGCGTGCCACCCGCACTGATCCGGTTAAGTATGCAAGCAGCTAACTTGCAACTTGTACACACAGACAGAGTAGTGGGAAGATGAATATTTTTGCTTGTATACCAAATACCTTTGTTTACTGTACAATAGGTAGGGCGACCCCCCACGAGATGGAGTGACGACCTGGTAAGATATGCAGGAAGTCGATGGATGCAGGTGGCTCGGGACCGTGCTTTGTGGCATTCCTTGGGGGAGGCCTGTGTTCAGGAGTGGACTTGTGAGGGGCTGTAATGATGATGATGATGATGACTGTACAATATTACTGGGATGGAGATCCCTGATCCCATATTATAGTATTTTTAATATAAAATAATAATGATTAGTTCAGTAAAAATTAAATAAACTGTTTTAAAAATAAATACTTATTTATTACTAGCTTTTTATGACGGCTACGTGGTGCAGTGGCTTAGCAATGAATTACTGCGCTAAGGGCCGCGGGTTCGAATCCCGCACGGAGCAAGTATTTGTGTAGCATACAAATAATTGTTCCGGGTCTGGCTATTTGTCCATGTGAAATTTATGTATGTAAACTGCCCCCACGATACAGAAGAAAATCCTATTGTGGAGGTATCGTTTATCAAAAAAAAAAAAAATAAAAATAAAATAATTTTTTTGAATTGAATTTAGGAACAACATTAAATGCTGTTACGTGCCAAATTTACAAAAATTCGATCACTTTTAGAGTCACCTCGGTGTCTGTGTCTCGATGCCTGTCGAAGATTTTTTTTTTGAATTCTAAGACTATGAGACGTAGATGATTGGTATTTTGCATAGATATAATATGCTATAGAAACACGTGAATATATATGTCTAGAAATACCTACTATTTTTTATATAGGGCGTGTCATCCTATGTATCCATAGGTAAGGTAAATTGTCTTGGAATCAAAATTTAATATTACTATTTACATTTCACTCTTACACTCATTCATAATTAGTTAACAAAATAATGATGAAATTCATGGTCTTCTATTAATTTACGGTATAATATTTATTTGAGATGTTTTATTCATATTATTCATTCATATTTCATATTATTTAATATTAATTGGCGTCATAAAATAGATGTAGATATTTTTTTACGTTCGAAAATTTCATAAATGCAGTTCTATAAGGATGCATACAACACATGGAATAAAACAAATGTTACGGATTTTATCACGTTTAATTTTAACTTTTTTACATGTTTTTTTTACTCATATTTGGATGAAAATTCCATAAAAACCTTGCGTAAAAGAACATATCGTTGATGTGAAGCACCGATGCTCCGGCAAGTCATGTTTAGTATGGTCCCAACCAT